ATTGGAAATCTCGTTTTCCATTCTTTTCCGTAATTATAACAATTTTACATAATAAAGCACTCTGTACGAAATCTTAATAGATCCCGAATAAAATACCAGATAAATATCTTCATAAATCATCATAGTGATTGATAAAACAACCTCAAATCAGCCCTTTTAAAAACAATATACACTGTTTGAAATATTACACACGCGTGTAAAAGGGAAATTCTATTAACATTTTGGGTAACTATTTCTTGTATGGCTTACACTTTGTATAAAAATATTAGAGAGTTAGGATGTTTTGATCAGATTATATGAAAAGTTCAGTCCATAGCTGTTTGTCTAAACTCGACTTTGAGAAAATATCGAAGAGTCTAAATCGATCTCGAGAATATCATCAATCATTTAACTGAATTTATTATTCAAATGGCTTAATATCTTAGTTGTTTTACTAAGTAATACAAAAGCGATTATTTATAAGTTTTAATAAAGGTGACATTTTGGAACAACTACGATAGTGATGCAAAATCAATTTGTTATTTTTAAATAGAAAAAGTGAAACTATGTTTAGTTCTGTATTTTAGGAATCGAAGCTTATGTAGATTAGGATCGGATGAATAAAGTAAAAAGAAATGAAATATGAGACTGTGGTAAAGAAAATAAACTAAATGCTGCACTATTTGTTTGAATTTAACAAGTTTTACAAAACTAATAAAGTAAGCAGAGAACAAGTGTAAAGTAATGTGAAATTTTTTCTTACTGTTTAGTTTTTTTTTATTTATTTAAAAATACGGTTATGGCAAAGTTATTCTTTATGATTTCTTTTTGTTCAAAAACTATTTTAATCTAATTATAACAAGACATATTTCGTTTGTTAAAATTTCAGTTGTTCGTCTTGAATTGTGAACAAAATAGAATAACTGATGTTTTTAATTAAAAGTTAGACTCTTAAATGAATCATAAAATGTACCTTTCTTATTGAATTGTCTAAATTTTACAATATTATTCTGAGATATTTTCATGAGACACTAGAAGCTTTTAGTTAGACATGCTTTAGTCATTTCTGCTTCATTATCATTAAGTTATAATAACTTTTAATGTGAGTCTGCCATTAATGTTCCTTGTAAAATTTCCTGGCGTATATTCCGGAAAGTATAAGTGCCTTCAATGTAGTTTCGAGCCTTAGTAACTCAAGGTTTTTAAGTATTGAAATCGTTCAGTTATGTAGTTTATAGTGAAGTTTAAATTCAACAAATTTAGAAGTAGTTGTACTCTTTTTTTTATATAATCCTATTTCTAATAGTAATGTAACTAACACACTATTCTTTAATCGTCACCATTACATCGTTCCTTAGTCTTCAATCGACACTAAGGGACTGCTAGAATAACCAAACGACACTAAGCGCGGTCAGATAACGAATTTACTTTTCATGTTCTGTTTTATGGCTAATTTTTACAACAGTTTTCTTTTACTACTTGTACAATGGCCCGTCATTTTGAGATAAGGCGCAAGTTTTTGCGTCATGAAACGCACAACACTAGGCATCTTGCGTATAATGAAATGCCTTATCGATATTCCTTCACTGAATTTTGTATCGACGACTCAGTTGTATTACGTGACGTGATACACTTGTCGGAAATATCAGGCAGGTAAACTTTTCTTTTAAAAACTTGAAACACAGATTAAACAGTAAAACTTCAAGCACATATAAGGTAGATATTTATTGATTAGTCGATAAATAATATTAATTTGCACGCTCGTGCGAGTTCATTATAGGGAGGTATGCTCCAGTTGGACGTTAATTAATTACGTAGTCAGTGACATTTCTGAACATGAATCATAGATCTATAAGTTTTCCCTAGTTTTATTATTGAACAGTCTTTCATGTATTTTATCAAGAAGAATTCCAATATGTTTTTGTACTTTGATAATTACAAACTTAACGTTATTGTGGAACTGAAACATGGCACTATGTTTATAAGACGTTTCGTATCTTTGAATTTAGTGCAGTTGCAAGTTAATTTGTTGGCAACTATTAATTTCGGGTGTCGTCGGTTTTGCTCGTGTCTCGTAATAAAACAGGAATTAGTAATCTGATAGCAGAGCTCGGGTCTAGCGGCTGTAGCTTTAACCGTTTGATATACGGACTTAATATTACGCTCTACGCTGAGTTACAATCTTAAGCTTTAAGTTATGAGTTGTATCTAGTAGGCACTAGAGGATTATAAAAATGAAACTACATTGTGTCCTTTATGAAGACATAAACTGCTAGGCCAGAGGTGGCGAACATTTATGCATCAAAGTGTCATTTTTTTAATGTTTAACGTCATCGACTAATTTTGACTGCTATTATAACGTCAATTCCATGGTGCACCTATTTAGTTTTTTTTTTCGTTGTGTTCTATAATTTTCGACCAGTGCTAGGATATGTATGAAACTTGATGATGTTTTAAAAACGCAATAGGTTATTTCCCTAAAATAAAAACCATAATCTGCAAGTTCTAGTTAAAATTTCTATGTAGTTATGACACGTTTTAATTTAAACTGAAGTTGATTCTTTAGTGATAAAAATAATTTTTCTTTGCTTCCTATAATTCAAAATGAGTTAGGTCAAAGATATAATAAGAAGAATTGCCTACCTTTTGCTGTAATGATGAACATTTAGGTAATATAGCTACGTTTTTATATACGGTCTCAGATTTCGGAGATAACAAGATGATTTAGTTGGGAGCCCTTTCGAAGATATAATGTGTTTTTATGGATCGCATGGGCTCTACGGAGAGTCGCATTACTACGGTTTGTTACCTTCCTTACGATATGAAAATCTCATGGGAAGACTTCGATTCTTTTGTTATTTATCTACTTGTATATATGATGAAAATTGTCAGCTCAATAAATACAAAAATTGATTCTAATTGTTTATGGTAAAAAGATTTTTGTAAAACTTTTGTTAAATAGATTTCTTTTACATACCGACGTATTTCTATAGCACTTTATTGTTAGTTTTTGACAGTGAAAAAAAACTTTACCGCAATTATGTTGTGTTTTGTTTTCTTTGACTTTTTTGTTTGTGTTTTGTTTTTATAGTTGAAGCTAATGGCACATTATATTAAATACACTATGTAGCACTTGGCACAGTATGCTTCGAAAAGTGCCTGTCCCCTTACCCTGGTTGGAACTATGATAAACTTCCTTGTTTTTGTCACGACCCCACATGCTCCTAAATCAAATGAACATTGTATGAACTCATAATAGTTTGCCCACAACTTCCACTTTAGACCCCTTTTTCACTAAGAAACAAGCCGTACGTCTGCTTGAGAGTGCGATTTCTATGAGCAGTCGAGCGGCGAGTACCAGTGGAAACTTGATCTGATAATATTTCCGCTGGTTATGATAAAATATATTGCTCATAGAAAATGTCTCTTAGTGAAAAAGGTTCTTATTTACAACAGAACGCTTTTGTATCATATTCTTGAAGATTTTTACCCTTTACAACTTTCATACGCCCGAACAAGTTTCCCATTGTACCGCAATGTATTTATCTCGGCTGTATTAAGGATAGGCACGCTATTGACATAAATGTGTAGATGAACAAACGAGATATTCCAGAATTTTCCATAAAGGATATATCTATTGCTAAGCAGTGTTCGTTGGCATTCGATTTTACCAATACAATTTCTGTGTTAGCTAGTTTTAATCAGAGCAGTAACGGTTTGTTTTAGAATGAGTGTTTGTTCAGCAATCACTTTCTAGTCTACATAACTGATTAGAATATCTTCAACATTATAACCTTTCATTTGTATATTTCGGTACGAAATATCACTATCAATTCATCATCCCTATCCTTTATGCGTGGTCCGAAGTGTCCGTTCGAAGTGCACTTATTCAGTTGTCAGCACGAAAGATTGATGGAGGAAATATTAAATTTGTGTTTTTTTCTCAACTTTTTGTTCATAACAGAAGTTTTGTAATACACTACAAATGTGAAATTTAAAGCTCAAATGTTGTTGATTTTAGCGATGGGTAAAATGCAGCAGTCACGTTTAGTATTAAAAATTTTTGTAACGACAAGTCGCCGACGATTACGGTATAAAATCTCCAAATAAAATTTTATGCATAAAATTTAGATTTTTTATCGGCAAAACCTTCTGCTACTCTACAACAAGGTGCTTAAATTTTAGTAAATGATCGGATTAGCCTCGCCTTTCTACATCTCCATGCAGCCAAAATAATGGACGAAAATGTAAATTCAACGACATTACAAAATCTGCCAACGAGAATATCGGAAGTATTATTTATTTAAAGAATGACTAGAGTACAAACTTCTTTAGTAACAAGAAGTAAGGTTCAAAAATGAGTAAGGTAAGGGTAAAGGGTATTTGATAGTGGATTTGGTTGAAATATCAGTTTGTGTACTTGATACGCTTGAAAATGTTCAACTTTTTAAAAGTCTAGTATATTCTAGTAGCAATATTTTACATAGAGCGGGAGCTAATCCTTTGCCGGTATAATGATCGTTTTATTGCGCTGCGTATTTTCCGGGCGAGTGTCGAGGGCGCTCCACGCGGCCGATGTTGGCTTCCGCGGATTACTGGATCAGTGCAATATCGTAGCTTAAATATCGCGAATATTCCCCCGTGTGTACGTCCACAATTTGAATTATGTCCGTCCAATGCACAATCTGGGAAAGAGAATCTGAGAAGCAATTATTTACATAACAGGTGATAACGTAGAGCAAAATGTAAAGTAGACAAAGAGTTTTGTTTTCGAATATTCCTTTAGTAGAACCTCAACCAAGCCTCAAGGTTTACTAGATGTTATATGAACCTTGCCACCTACTATTAATGCAAATAAATATAAGTAATGAAAACAAAATAAGTGTAAATGTAATCCAGAGTGCAACGCTCTCACGTTTAATTACGATTCAGACCTATCTGTGTAAAAATGTGTTGAACTTAAACAAACGGAGTATGGTGTAAACACAAGGTACATCGTTGAATTAATTGTTTGTTTGCAGGCGTTGCTTCAGGCGCACGACGTGGTGGCGCGCGAGGTGTACGGCGAGGAGTCGCTGCGCGCGTCCCCTCCGCCTGTCAACGGCCGCGCCCCTGCCCCCGCGCAGGACGACGACGACGACACCGAGCCAGAGTTTGAGAACGTGACCAGGGTGCGCCTCGTGCAGTTCCAGAAGAACACCGATGAGCCCATGGTAAAAGCATCTGCTAACATCAGCAAACTGAGCTAGAACAGAACACATAATTTACTGACAAGTCTATAATTGAACATGTAATGGTCTTTGTGACGAATGAATGCAAGCCATACAATTATTTTCTAAAAATCCGTTCGCTTTCTTAAATATCTATCTCAGTAGGTACGTTTTCCACTCCACCATTCAAATTGTAAACAGATACTGCAATTCGAAACCCACTTTACATGAAAGCCTGTAACTAGTGTAACCAACGTACCCTATTCAATGAAGGCATATATAGGCAATAGCTTCAATTAGAATCGGACGTCTTTAACACGACGAAATTGCAGTTGCCCAATAAATTAATTGAATGACGTCCTTTGAATGTGATTCAATCTCGAAGTGTTCTATTCCCAATAGTACATCCTATTTTAGATTGTAATACACTGGTGGTATTTTATCAAACAGACTAACAATTATTACTATTAGATATTTCACTATCAATTTTTTTTATTTTAATATACCAATCATAATCTGACATGTTTCAATCTAATTTTTACTCATAAGAGATTTCCGACTTACTAAAAATCCTAATTTTCTCTCTACTAACGGTGTTTTTAAACAGCTTCATTTATATTCAGCGCTGATCGGATTCCAACTATCGAGCGGAATTCGAATGTAACGATTATTACAGGGCATAACGCTGAAGCTAGCTGACGACGGTCGTTGCATCGTAGCACGCATCATGCACGGCGGCATGATACACCGGCAGGCGACGCTGCACGTGGGAGATGAGATCAGGGAGATTAACGGTACTCCTGTCGCCAACCAGTCCGTAGCTCAACTGCAACGGATGTTGGTAAGGCGGATTTTAGATAATCATTCAGTCAGTAGACATTAGATTCCTGATGTTTCTTTGATGAACCTTGATGTCAAATCATCCGTCAATTAAATTCTTGTCTTATCCGTATGCACTTTTACAAGTAGAAAGGTTCTTTCCATTTGGTAATGTTTGATTGTTCTGAATTGACCTCGGTTTCTGTCGCGTGATTTTTGCGTTCTTTTTCTTTGAAAAGACTGAGATAACAATATGTTTTGTACAAGTGGGTTGATAGTAGAAGCCCTTTATTAATCAACGTATTTGCACATTACAGCGTGAGGCCCGTGGCTCGGTGACCTTCAAGATCGTACCATCGTATCGCTCTGCGCCGCCACCTTGCGAGGTAAGCTTCACTTCTCTTTGTGACTAATCTAATTAAGTTTTGAACCCCTTAGAGAGCTGTGTGTTGACTGAACGCTTACTCTATCGATTGCAACACTCCTTTAAACTGAAGCAACTCTGACGATGCTCATAGTAACAGATAATCTTGTATTGGGTTTACTTGAATGTTTGAAATTAGAAGTGTGATTAACGCTTGCTTCAAACTAACAGAAACTTAAAGCGTAGTACAAAGATTCGACAAGCGCACATAAATAACTGCTAAATGCTTGTCCTGGAAGCATAAAATCAAATCGGTGATAATAAAAACAAAATAAAAATTTTATATTTTTCCCTCCTAACTAGCTATTCCGGATAAAGCCTTCGCCCGTGCTAGTAAGTAGCTGGAGACGGAGCAGTCGCTACTTTATGTTGTTTTATGTTGGTCGTATAAAGTTTATGTTATGTTGTGTTGTTTACGTCGCCCGGGCATGGCTGCGCGTCCCCGAGAAGATCTGCGTTTCTGTGCGCTTGTTGTTCTTACCATGGCTTCACTACATCATTAATAACTGTTTCTTTATTCTTTGTAACAGTTGATTTTCTTTTATTTCCATTTTGTTTCAACATATTGATTTATGCATCAGTATAATAATGTTTGTGACTTCTTTCTTTTATTCTGATTTGTATGCTTTTGGTAAACAATAGTTTTAGACTATCTGTAGTATATGTAGGTATTGAAGGTAGTTTTTAAATTAATTTGATGTTAAAAGGTAATTAAATTTTCATTAAATTTAGTAGATGTATCATATTTTATTATCCTGCAAATTGCATGTGTTTTTATAAACAAAATGGGTTTTTTACATTATAATTATTTTTTAGATATTTGTGAGAGCGCAATTTGATTACGATCCTTTAGAAGATGAATTGATCCCGTGCGCTCAAGCCGGTATTTCCTTCAACACTGGAGATATACTTCAGGTAAACACTTTATTTTTTTCTTTTATCATTTTTTTAATATTGACACTTGTATTTATTGTTTCTTCGTTTTACAGATAATAAGCAAGGATGACTCTCACTGGTGGCAGGCGCGTAAAGACGCGGCAGGGGGCTCTGCTGGCCTCGTGCCCAGCCCTGAGCTACAGGAGTGGCGTGCCGCCTGTGCCGCTGCTGAACGCTCTAACGCCGATCAAGGTATACGATTTCTTCTTTCTCTCTTTCTTTTCTATACTAGACTCAACTAACTTCTGCAGCAAGGTTTTCAACGCATATGAAGGTTTGATCATTGTTATTGGCCTCCGTCTTCCTATTGTTAACCATATCCCACTTCCTACCGGTTTTCTTTTTCCTTGTGACCTTTGGTTTTGGCATAGTGGCTTTAAATAAGTGGTGAATTTGCTTTCTAAAGATAAAACTTTAATTATGTTAACGTAAGACTGTTTTTGAGGTCTTCTGAAAACTTTGAACTGAATCGTCTAATCGTTTAATTGTGTTGAGTTCTTTCGCCAGTTTGTTCTAATGCATGCATAGTGTTTGGAGTGTTTTGATTTATCATGTCATTAACATTGTGTGTTTTCGTTTCAAATTAACATTGGACCAACAGTTGGTACGTAAATTCATTATTTTATGCTTAAAATACGATCTCCGTATGACCATAATAAGAAATATATCCTCTTGTGCATGGTATAGAGTCCTTTAAAATGTAAAGAAAATATCTGTAAAAACAAATGTAAAAAAATCGAAAGCTATTTAGTAGACAGAAGTATTTGCTTCAACAAGTACGTTAAATGTTATTGTTACCTGGATTGAAGGAATTTGTACAGTCTTGACATGAGTCTATTCTAGTTCAAGTGGGGTAATGCTTTGAGATTCATATAGATAATTCACAATTTTATACGTGACTACTAGCATTGTTTAATTTGAAATTAATTTTGACGTTTCCAGTTTTCCATTGCTATTATCTTTGTACTTTAAAAAAATACAGTTCAATTTTGATTGTTCATTGCTTGAAAGGTATTTTTCAAAGGGGTTTTAATATAGATATCTTACTAATGCGAAAGTTTTGATGGATAGATATTTATTAGAGGTTGTAGCCTTACCTGTTGAATCGATCTCGATGAAATTTGCCATAGATGTAGAGGATAGTATGGAATTCACATTGAATACTTTATTTTGTTTTTTTTATACCGCTAATACGAAATCGCGGGTGAAAGCTGTTTTCATTACATTTTATAAAATGATTTTTAACTACAATCTCAGAGCGTTGCCCTTATGCGTGTCGAATGGTATCGATGTAGCAACCCTGCCTCATTAACGGTGTTCCCATTGGCGTGTGCATGACCCGTGTTGTAATGTTGTGCGGCTAGGAGCCGAGGGCTGCGTGTCGCACACCGACGGCTGCGAGAACACAGGTACACCTTCAAAAACTTTAATTATACACTGTATAAATACATGTATACATTCTTTGCCAAATCGATTAACAACTATACTCATGACACTAAAGTACACGACACTTAACAAAATCAATGTTGTAAATAGATATTAGAGAACTTAATTTAAATGTTATTGTTAAGTATACATTTTAAATAAAACATTCGAAATAAAATATACACTGTATGAAATTTATACACTTTTATACATTGTTAATCCAACATTTTGAAAATTAAATAATCAAAATTACTGTTACCTATACAATTTATTTAAATAAACATTATGTTAAAATGCTGAATATACACTCAACATAATACAATAATGTACTCTGAAATTTCTTTAATTTATTGTTTTACGAGTTAATCGATCTGGTATCTGAAGTATAAGAGATACGTAACAGACTTATGTATACTTTTTACACAATAGCTTGGCAGTTGTAGCTAACAGCGCACGATTCTTCACTCTACTCACACCTTTAAACTTAAAGGTCCACTAGACTGGATTGTGTACTTTATCATGAGACTTTATGACTTTCTTAAATACGTTTTTATGACGTTAGTACTCATATTTTGAACCAGTACACATTACATTAATAATTACACATTCTATTATTCATTTGTGTAACACGAGTTTATATTTTCCGATTGATATAGTTATTGTATAGACTAGAAATATCAAATAACTAACCCTATTACAAATCCAATTGTGTTTTAGTACATATTTTGAGTAGTGAAAATCGTATTTGGTAGTTTTTCTTCGTAATAATTTAAAATTCAATATAACTTCTACCTAGTAATTTTAATACTTCAAATGTAAATTCAAAATTCTATGTAACCGAATACTTTCGTATTTCAAAGTACTTCAATGTTCATTTTAGCGTGAACTCTGTATAAAAACAAAATTAAAACTGTTCAAAGTAGTTGGCTCTTAAATATACAGTGTTTTAAAGTAGCTATCAGCTTAAATGAACAATATTATTACTTTTTTGTTTAAATTCTAGTCATTTCTAATTACTTTTGAACCTGCAGTTTATATCAAAGATAATAATTTGAATAAACAATTGTTTCAGTCAATTGTTCGATATTCGGACGCAAGAAGAAACAATCTAAGGATAAATATCTTGCGAAGCATAACGCAGTGTTTGATCAACTGGACGTGGTGACCTATGAAGAAGTCGTTAAACTACCATGTAAGTATATATACAGTAAAATTGAAGTGTCTGTACGTTATATTGAGAGAAAAAAATCATATTTCGTGAACAAATGTGAAATGTATGTCTGTTTTTGTAACCGCGCTTGTTCCTACTAATCGCCGAAAGGGTCGGTTTATATACACGGGGGTTTAATGAAAAATAGCTGAAATTATCGGGAATAGTTTAAGCTACTTTTGTTTTCATCGACAAAGTCCCAGTCGACATCTATCATGATAATAATTTTAACATAATAGAACAGTCAATGTAATATAAATGCTAGATATGATAGTGTTAATTTGTATTTTTCGCAGCTTTCCAGAGGAAGACGATAGTGCTGTTGGGCGCGCACGGCGTCGGCCGACGTCACATCAAGAACACCCTGATAGCGCGACACCCCGACCAGTACGCGTATCCCATACCGCGTGAGTTTTACTACGATATAGACTTGTATAGACGATAATCCCGCTTAATTATGTCGCTAAATATCAATGACAGTCTTACAAAATATTTGTATCAGTGTCACAAAATATCGGTATCAGTGTCACAAAATATCGGTATCAATGTCATAAAATATCGGTATCAGTGTCACAAAATATCGGTATCAGTGTCACAAAATATCGGTATCATTTTCACAAAATAATCGGACATTACAAGATACATTGATAGAGTTTGACTTATAGCGGGTGCACCTTTAATAACCTATCGCACAATCGTTATGCGATTGTCGATTGTTTCGCAGCCAATTCAACTGTTTAGTTGCACAACTAAATATCGAGTAGTGTACCTTCATATCAGCTCATAGGAACCAAAGCAAGACTAAACAGTTGTGCGATTTTGTAGTCAAAAGGTGCGCACGCTCTTAAAATTAACATGCGGTAATCATGTATTTTTAGTTTTATCTGTTATAATTTAGTTAATCTAAATGTTACTATAACTTTATAAAAGACGTGTCTTGTTTGCTCCTTTTATTAGCGGATATTTTAGTATTGAATTCTTGATGTGACAAATATTAACATAACATTTTCAGATACAACTCGTCCGCCTCGACCTGATGAAGAGAACGGCAGACATTATTACTTCGTGACCCACGAGGAGATGATGGCGGATATTGCTGCTAATGAATATTTGGAATATGGTAAGATATAACCTCTTTATGTAATGTTTACACATTACTTTTATTTAATGAGTTTTTTGTTGTCTTTACTATCTTTACCGTTTTCAAGTAATTTACACTTGGAGTAGACTTAATAGGTACAAGAAGATGAAAGATACGCGAATTACCGAACTTGTTTTACATGGTTTTGAATAGACTAAACTGTCGGCCGATTTAAAGTCTGTCATGTGTAGAACCTTTAGTATTCAGACGCAAGATAAGTCCGCGCGCAGCCGACAGTGTTTTAACAGTGGCAGAGTCCGCTTTAACATCTTCGAACGAATGTGCTGCAATATTATGAAGTATGTGCAATTCCACGTATTCCTTCCCCTTTCCATCATTTATACAAGGCTGAAAAGAGAAAGCGAATTTGGAGTTAGCAAAGACGAAGAAGGGGAAATAACCCCTTTATGTACATCTTACTTGCAATTGATGTTTGTAGGCAGCGGTCGTATCAGGTGGATTTGCTCGTCTGCCACTTTATGATTTTTTGAGGGTTTTTCCTCGTTAGTAATTTGTAGTTCCATACTGTAGGCACGCACGAGGACGCGATGTACGGCACGAAGCTGGAGACGATCCGGCGCATCCACGCGGAGCGCCGCGTCGCCATCCTGGACGTGGAGCCGCAGGCGCTGAAGGTGCTGCGCTCGGCCGAGTTCGCGCCCTACGTCGTCTTCGTCGCCGCGCCGCCGCTCAACAACGTCGCTGACGTGAGTCCTTCTAGAACGTTCTACACCGAACTTGTGGTTTCTTGATTGTTGTTGATTGTCGAATTCGACTCAGTAGACCCACCAAAATGTCCAATAAGTAATTTTTGCTTTAAAACAGTCACATCTGATGTGAATGTAAACAACTCTTATTTGACTTGGTTTTCTTTTTTTCTGAATTGGCAAAGCTTTGCGTATTATGAATGTAATAAGAGATGATGATATAAATAAGACAGTATTAAATTTAAATATGGTTACAAAAGTAGAGGATATATGAATGAGGAAGATCGTAGAATGTTTGGATGGATTATGTGAAGGAGAATATGCTTAAGAAGGGAGTTGATTCAAATATAACGATTTGTAGAAATGTATAGAAGAGCAGTATATACTCTACAGACCCTCTGTAGGGACAAGAGCAAGTTGATGAAGACTTTACCATTACAAAGGTAATGGTAAAGTCTTTCGCGCGTACACAGCGGTCTACAGCTAGTAACATTATAAATCTTTTTTGCGATTCTTAGTATTTCACCTGTTAGGATTACTCAATCAATTCTATATTCAATTCGATTATTTTCAATAAATTCCAGTACGACGGTTCCCTGGAAGTGTTAGTACGTGAATCTGAACAACTCCGTCGTACGTACGGACATCACTTCGACCTCTGCATCGTCAACAACGACATCGACGACACGCTCGCGCAACTGGAGGCGGCGCTCGCGCGGCTCCGCACCGCGCCGCAGTGGGTGCCCGTCGCTTGGGTGTACTGACCTAACGACTGCTACCTATAGAACAAATACGACTCTATTGCCTCAGGTATAAAGTTCACTTTTGCTTGTACGTGATGTACGTACAACATGTCTCAAACGTATCTCAAATGTTCACTTTTATTTTAGTGGAAAACGACTCTATTGTCACAGGTATAAAGTTCACTTTTGCTTGTACGTACATCGTATCAATCGTTCACTTTTATTTTAATGAAAAACGACTCTATTGTCTCGAGTGTAAGGTTCAGTTTATTTATCTGAAGACAAAACACGACTGTCTTGTCACGGGTATAAAGTCCTTTATTATCTGTTGATAAAATACAACTCTATGTTCTCAGATATAACGTTCACTTTCGCATACAGGTCAAACACCACTCTACTGTTTAAAGTATACTCTTTTTACCTGTAAACGAAATACAACTATTGCCTCGGGTATAAGGTACACTTTTTACCTGTAGACAAAATACGACTCTATTATCTGAGGTGTAACGTGTAGTTTTATATATTGGCTTCACTGTCATAACACTACATATTGTTGTCTTTGTTTTGTTTGGAGAGATTGAGAGAGATGGCAATATGTAATATGTTAGGATAGTGATGTACACGGTTACGTTATGTTATGTTTTTTGAATTTAGAATTGTTTTCGATTATAAGGGACATTTTAACGAATTTAAGTTTCTTTATAATTTGGTTTATTCTGTTTTATCTTTGGGATTTTTTTTTTAAATCATTGAAGCTTGTTGATTTCTAAAATTGGTTTAAACTATCTCTCTAAGAGGGTATTTGAAAGTTTTTTTCATATTTAACAGCGATTGTTATATTTATTTTATTATTATTTTTTTCTATTAATTATTAAAACGCCGAAAATTAGTTAAAATTCTCAGTAAATCTAAAATCAATGTAGTAAAACGATGAAATTTTAATTTTCACGTTGCTGTTTATAATAATTTTTGTTGTTTTTTTATTGTCGACTTTGGTATTTTTGATTGCGTTTATTTTGAAATTGAAACATAAAACATTAATATAAAATATGAAATATAACTTGTTTATATATTGGATTGTTTGTAAAGGTAAAGGAATGTTGATTTACATATCATTTATAAATTGAATGTTTATTGAGAATGAAAAGTTGAAAATCGATTTAAAAGTATGAATACAAAAAACTCTAGTAAACAATAATTTAAATTGTTCAATGAATGGAAACGCAATTCAAAATACCTTAGAATTACAACAAAATATAAAAAAAAAATGAATTAAAACACCACTTATTAATCGACAATTTTATATATTATACAAATTGTCTTTAAGATATAAATTTATACTTACGTCATTCTCACTTCGAGAGTAATTAGCTCAAAACAATTTTTATTCTTAACATATAAAAATTTAGATATTGTAGTTTTAGTATGTATGATCTAATTCAATTAAAACTTGAATCATGATTACTACGAATTGTTTATTATAAAAGTAGTCAAAAGAATCGGAATCTAAAAAGAAATCGACGGAAAAAACAATAAATTCGAATAGAGGTCATTTTAATCATAAAATCAGTGCCCGTGTTAGGGAGGATTTGGGCGGTTGCCCAGGGCGGTTAAAAAGGCGTCACTTCCTTTTACTTACAAAACCTGATAAAATAGGGGCGTTGTAAATATCGCCCAGGGCGTTAGTAGATTTAAAATTGTCACTGGCTAAAATTTTTCAACGACAAAACTCCTGAATAAAACGTTATGATTAAGGTTGTTTCAAACATATAACAATTTTCTTTGTAATATCATTGATAGTGCAACGAATTCCTAATAATTATGGAGGGGCTCTTTAATAATTATACTAAAATTAAAAACAAAATACACATTACCAAACCTAAAACTAGGGACATTCCGCTCTGTACTTAGTTGGTACTGTACTTAAAAACAGATTATTGTACTGTACTTAGTACAAAAATCTGTTTTTAAGTAATGTAGTGTATGTTATTGAAAGACTCAATTTCGCATGCACAATTATTTACAAGTTTCTAGAGAATCTGATCCATTCAATTACTCTTCACTAAGGGTCTCCCTTAGTGTTCAATTAACGACTCGGTGCAGCAGTGAGTGTGTGAAAATATAAAATAGTAAAACGCCTATAACATGCAATTGCTTTTATCAAATAATTTCCAAATTAAATTTTATTAGCAACTGTATTATCCCATACGAATTATTAGATTTTAGAAATCGGTTTTCATTTAAGACTAGTACAATTACAAAGACAAATGAATTTATATGTTACTTAAATATTATTTATTTAGTCAATTTTCATTGTTTTACATACAAGAAGAGTATATTATACAAAATAATGCGAAATATATAAGGCTATTTTACAATTGTTCCAGATCATATGTATTTATTTATTAATAATCTGTACATTTACAGCCTTACAATTAAATGCGGTATTTTAAACTTAGGAATAAACTGAGTATAAGCAAAATTTGTACTAATATTTTTTTATACTCAGTTTATTCCTAAGTTTAACTTTATGTCGCGTTTATTTGTAAGGCTCCTAGATTTTTTAAATAAATAAAGAAACCATGAAGTACTCAGGACCTCATTCGGTATCCCACCCACAACTGCGTATCGACAACTTTTTTTTAATATTCGAGAATAAATGCTTTTAAGATATCTTTTGCAAAATAGCCCTGTATTGCATTTGTATAATTATTTGGTGCAAGATCGCTCAATATAAACTGTGCCAAATGATTGTGAGTAAAAACGGACACACATCTTGTCCCGATCTAATCCTTTGAGATTTTTGAAATCTTGTACATAAGTATACAGTAGGTAATTAATAAAAATATAAAAGTAATTCACTAGTATTGTACCGTAGTTCAAAGTGTTTACTTCTTTAAAATTAAGATTTCTTCTATTGTAGTTAAGTATGGTAAGATTCGATTTGCAACCAAAAAAGCACAGATGTATTTACAAAGATTATTATTTATTATGTTTTTTTTTTATCATTAGTCAATATTCTTTAAATTAATGTTTAATTGTCAATTTCATTAAATATATAACTTTTAGAATAGATTTGGTAAAGTAAAAATTAACGTGATTTCATTTTCAAGGTCGCGTTTCGTTTTCATTTCGTTACACGAAAGAGAAAAGAGATGGTACAAGTTTGAGAACGAAAGAGAGGGAGGTTAAGACGTCTTTGAGCGTCGATTTTTTTTTCACAGATATTAATTTGATAGTTACATCTGTGCTTCTTGGTAGGACAAGGGTTTATTGTAATATATTTATCACAATTTCACACATTCAGAGTCCACAGGGTTGAAGGGTCACTGTAGTGTTTTCCTCTATGTAGCTAATAATTAACGATTTAAAATTTTATTCTGTTGACAAATGAAAATAATACTTCATTTTTAAAATGATTTGCAAAATTAGTATTTATGACCTATGTGCTTGATTTTTTTCGAAATAAAAATAAGTTTTCTTGTATAAAGCAAAATAGTAATTCAAACAGTATTTACCCTACCTCATATTTTATTTATACCATCAAAATAATAAAATTAACTTGTTGCTTTTTTCATACAAAATATAAAACATACTGACAATAAATTCATTTAATTAAATCGTCTTATTAACAAAAAATAACGCACCTTTTTCTTTGGTAATTCGGATTTTACTACTTTTTAAATCTTTTTAAATTTTCCATGTAGTGATTGAATACTCTTGGAAGAAATTATTTTAGGCTGTATCGACCTGCATGCTCTATGGCTTATCTTGTACAGATTAAAAATGAGTAGTCGAATTCGATTCTATAATTATTACTCTTTCAATATATGTAATATTTAGGATAAGATTTAAATGAACATTCATTTCCTCTACTAATTGTCATTTAATCGCAACTGACACGTTTTGACTAGTTGTATTTGCTCAACAATCAAGTTTTTTTTTAAATCTCTGTGTAATCAAATCTTTTATACACGAGCATATTTAATCATGTCAAAGATAATAAAAGAAAATAAAAAATCTTTTATTTTTAGTGGAAAAATATGATTTTTTTTATTATTCGTGTCAATCTATCTTTTTATTCAATTGTGAGTGTAAACGTAGTAATTATTTTCTCCTAGTTTCTGCGACCATAGATATTGGGATAAGTGTAATTATTTAAAAAAAAATCTTGGGGTTTTTATTGTTTAGTATAGATTTTTTGAAATGTGTAATAGTGTGGGGTTGCACTTGTATTAAGATATTTATAGGAATTTTGTATTGCACTTGTTTTTTTCTTGGTTAAGAGTTTAAAAAATTTATTTTAATTAAATAACCATTCCAAATTATTTAATCGTTTGTATCAAATACCAGTTATAAACAGAAATTTGTATTAGTTATTGAAAAATTTCAGTGATATTTATTTAGCAAATGTAATTTCATGTTTAGGATATTACACAATTTAATGTTGTTATGAAATTAGATATACAATAATTTATTTCAAAATAGATATGCTTAGATTATTTATTAAATAAATAAGATTTTTTAAATTTATGAACTGTTGGTTTTGAGTCTTGCTGACTAAAAATTTTTTTTAAAAAATGTGCTTAAATTTTTTTGACATGTTTTAACTAGTGTTTGCGTTAGCGTTGGAAAAGTTTATCGTAATATATTTATTATTATTAAAAACAATGTATATGTAACGGAGAATATTTTCAATGTTAATCATCGTAAAAATTTAATAACCTCACCCTGAACATTCCATCATAGTATAATCTGTCATTTATTTATTGATATACATATTTTAAAATTAGCGATATATGAATGCATAAATTATTGTTCTTGATATTTTGATGGTATTTTTAAGTTAGTTTTTTTATTTTATAATAATTGTACTTATAATTTAAATTTAATAGATTTATAATTATGTCTTGATACTTTGTTGTTTTAACATGATACTTAAAATATAGTAAATAATAAACCACTTTCATCGTGTAATTCATAATAAGAGATAAAATAAAACATAAAGACACATGAAATAGAAAATTTACAAATTGCAATAAATAGTTACCTATTATTTATAACTGAACAATAGTGTGTAATGTCTACCTATTAAATTATAATTTACCTGTCCCAGTTCAGAAATATTGCTATATCGAAATATAAATTGTATGCAAATGCAACATGTATCGAAACTTGTTAAACAACATGTATTAGGCAAACTCGTGCCATTGGTATCTGAAGGGACAGATCTTTCAATAACAATTTAAGACGACTGAAGTAAATAACTTATAATAACTGTTAAAGATTAAATAAATCGCACAAAATAATATGTTGTTTTATTACCTGTGGTCTTGACAAATTATAGAGGTGTTGCCAGTATTCCTGTGGGGGAAAGTAGATAAGGAAAAAGAAAGGAAAGGGTAAGTTTTAAGTAATGATCTAAAAACCCATATATGACTACTGCAGTTGTGAAAAATGTAGCTTCAGCACTTGATACTTCATCACTTTGCATCTTTGCGTAGCGTAGCTATAAAAGTGGACCCCGACTTCTCCTGAGCATAATACAAAAAAATTTAAGTATGTGGTGTGTAAGACATTTCCTTACGGAGTAAGTTCTATTTCTACGCTAAGGTACATTGAAATCTTTTGAGCCGTTCTGGAATTTCTTGTTTTACCTTCTAACAAACATCCATCCATCTATACTTTCCTTTTTTTAATTAAGTTAACAAAACACGGTTTGATTTATAAGTGTAGCTGTCTACTTACTCTGGTTTCAATTGGCTTACAAAGCCATACTGTTTACTTATTGAATATCGGTGAGAAGTCGTTATTGCAGTCTTGAAATTTAGCTCAGAGCTTTCTATATTAAAGTCGAAGTTTCTTTTTATGCTCTCAATTTATTAAAGATTTTTAAAATCTAAATCATCACTTTCAATTTTAAAATTAAAACTCGTCACATTTGTATCGGAACGTTTATTGTCTTTGCCTTCGAAAGTATGGCGGCACCTAACGTCAGTGTCAGATTATTGTCCCTTATGTCAATGTCATTTAATTTTAGTGATTTATGTTGACGAGGTTGTTATTTTAGCATCAAAATAAAGTATTTTAAATTGAATAAACACTTTAAGCTATTAATATCAGTAGATTGTGACCCAATACATTTTTAAACATGGCTCAAAGGGAACGGCGCTCAAATGCTGGCAATCGAATGGCAAAGTTGCTTAACGAAGAAGAGGAGGACGATTTTTATAAAACAACTTACGGAGGTTTTCAAGAAGGAGAAGAAGACAACGATTATGTGTAAGTTTTAAAATTAATTTGCATTAATAATCATTTGTTTACAATTATAATAAATACGAAAATACATCAAACACAAGACGAGACATATCTAATTTGTCCTTTTTACCGTTATAAGATATTCTTGTATGTTAAATAAGTATTTATCTTTTTAGTGAAGAAAAAGAAACAGAAGATGTTGTGGATTCAGATTTTGATATTGATGAGAATGATGAGCCAACTTCTGAACATGATGATGAGGAAACGAAGAAAAGGAAAGTTGACACAAAAGCTTACAAGGCAAGTACCTGACAAATTTACATACTTAGTTAAAATTTAATCTAATAACGTTAATATTCCATTTTCATCAAAGTTGAGTTTTTTTAAATAACTTGCTGTTGCGTGCGACTTCGTCCGCGTGAAATAAAAAAATAAAGTCTATGTTACTAAATGATAACATAGCTTTTTAATGGTGTATTTTTGAAATCGGCCCAGTAGTTTTGGAGTTATTTCAATACATACAAAAACACAAATCTTTTCTCTTTATATATTTTTATAATTGAAAAACTATCGCATGATCCCCTTATGTTAAGTGCTGTAATGTGAAATTTTTAATCAAAGATATTTATAAAAACATTTTTTTTAATTGCTTACAGGATCCAAACAGAAAACGGAAAGGTGCAGAACAGAAAGTGAAAAAAGTTATAAAAAAACCTAAAGAACACAAAGTAAAGGAAAAAACGATCACAACTTCAGTGGAAAAGGTTGATAAATCTATTATTGATTTATCTATAGGTGTGTATCTTATGAATATTATAAATGTGAAAGAAATGGATGGATGGAAATGTATCTTGTATGTCGGCTCAACGGATCTCAATGATAGTCAGAATAGATGTGGAACACTTATAAAAAGACATAGACTATTGATTAAGATTTTTTTATATTTGTAAGGACGGAATAGTGGGATGAAGCCAATAAACAAATTAAGCATATAAATACCATACCATGCTAAGACAACAATTATTTTAAAAGTTAAAAACATCATAAACATTAATAAAATGCATACACTCAAGAATTAATCAATCATTTAATGATTTTTAAACATACTGAAATATTTTCAGAAAGGAAATCCATAAGACAAAGTACAGCAGTAAAGTCAGCGGAGACTCAACAAAGAATCAAAATAAGATCAGAATTAAAGAAGAAGAAGCCTAAAAAAGTAGAGGAAAGAGTACTGACACAAGAAGAATTGTTAGAAGAAGCACTAATTACAGAAAAAGAAAATCTTAAGAGTTTAGGTAAGATTAATCTGTACTAATATGTTAAAGAGGAAAATTTTACATTTTAGATGTATGAAATAACTCAAAAACTATTGGACCAATTTCAAAAATTCTTTCACCATTTAAAAACTATGTTATCAGTGAGTAACATAGGCTACACTTTTTGATTATTTTTTAATATTACACAGATAAAGACGCAAGCAACAACTAGTGTCATATAAAAAGGCTCATTACTGTTTTAAATTAAGGTATTAGTTTAATATTTTGTGCATCTTGGTCTTAGTAATATTATAAATGCGAAAGTTTAGATGGATGGATGTTTGTTAGAGTTTGTAGCCTAAACGGCTAAACGGAACTTGATGAAATTTCGCAAAGATGTAGAGGATAGTCTGGAAGAACACATAGAATCACTTTTATTTTTTTTAATTCCACGCGGACGAAGTCGCGGGCGAAAGCTAGTATTATTATAACAATGTTATTTGTATTTCTAGAGAGATTTGAACAAAATGAATTGGAAAGAAAGAAAGTGAGACCTATCAAGAAAACTATCACTGGACCAGTAATAAGGTAATTCCACACACTATATTGTCATAAGAAACATTAAACATGCATTTATATTGCTAACTTGAGATTAAGTCAAAAAAAATACAATTTGTTGCTACCAAACGCACATACTAGTTTGCTCCAGTTTGACTTCTAACTCGAAAATTATATTTCGCCACACAGAGATGTCTGCACCGACATGTTTATATATGTTCACTTGATAACTGAAATGAAAAAAATCCGGTTTTAAACCCTGTATCCACCTGTATCCACCTACCCTGCTCATATCTGATATTTTTACCGACTTCCCAAAAGAAGGAGGTCCTCAATTCGTCCTTTTTTTTAAGTTGTGTTACGGCATAACTCCGCCGCTAGTGGACTGAATTTGATGATTCTTTTTTTATATCCGAAAGGTAACGCTTGCAGATGGGTCCCTTTTTTTGTTTTTACTGAATCGTTCAACTATTTATACTAGTTATTTCTGGAAAATATATATTTAAGAAGATATTTTCTCTATGTTGCAGGTATCATTCATTCGCAGTACCGGAACCTTTAATATCAGAAATTACACCTGAAACAAACACAATAATAGAAGATAATAAAGATGAGGATATGATTAAAAGTGAAAAAGGTAAGTTTTCATATTGTAAGATGTGAATTTTACTTTTGTAAATAAAAAGACATGCAAGCGGCCATCTGAATTCGCCAAAATGGCGAAGCGACACCAGACATCCGCAATTGCAGATCCGTTGCCTATCCTTGATTGACAGAGGAAGAGACACACAGGAAGGGGAAATGTCCCCTATTAAATCCACTTTCTCTTCCCATTATTTCCTTATAAGGGTAGAATGGAAAGGAACTATATTTAGGTTTGTAATAAATTTAATTATTTTTCTTATTGTTTTTAAATGTTTTTTGTTTAGAAACTATGGAAGAAGTGCCCATACTTGAAGAGAAACCAGTTGTAGAAGAGAGTGAGATAAAAGTAGAAAGAGATACAAGAACTAAGATGGATGTAGTCGGCCCTGACGAGGAAATTAAAATTGAAGATGTTAAATTGTAAGTATTTTTACAGTTATTTTAAATTATATAAAAATCAGTGATTTGTGCTAAAAAATACATAGACCTTTACCTTATTATAGTTAAGTAGCTGTTCTCGTGACTTTACCCGGTAAATTAAAATATATAGCCTATAAGCAGATGAATTGCCTTTCCAACAGTGAAAGGTTTTTTAAAATCGGCCCAGTAGTTTTATTTATTTCAATACATACAAAAATAGAAAACATTTCTCTTTATAACATTAGTATAGATTACTTACATATAAAAGTAAAATACAGAAAAGCAAAACCTAAAAAAGATTTCCACTTTTTTTTTCTTTTAATGACATACTATACAGATAAAGAAGACAAGGAAGTTTAAAAATCTTCATATTTTCTATTCTTCTTCTCTATGTATACTTCTATACTAATATTATAAAGAGGAAAGATTTGTATTTTTGTATGTATTGAAATAACTCAAAAATTAATGGTCCGATTTCAAAAATTCTTACACCATTAAAAAGCTAAAGTAAAATATGCTATATTTTTCATTTTTTAATTACCCGCAAACGAAATCGCGAGCTAACCCAGTATTTTCGATTTCTATTTGATTTTCAGGAAAAATGAAAAACAAAACAAACCAAAAAATACAAACTGCAAGTTTTATGAAAGGACACTAATATCTTTTGAGAACGATATTAGAAATAAAGCCTTCAAATCTTGCTTCCCGACTTCAAAACCTAAGAAGCGACGCGAGTTACTGTGTGCTGTTACTAAGTAAGTTTCTATTTATTGTTAAGAACAAAATTAGTACCGTGTTGTAGAATTGGCGCAACTCTAGATTATCGGCATACACGTCACGTCCCTAGCTGCAGCTGACAGCTGACAGCTGTCAATGTCACTAGAAGTATGGATTGGCGCGCAACCTGAGTCCTAACAAGATGTTTAAAGCGACAGTATCAATTAAATAACTTGTCTAAAATTATGAAAATACAATTACTGCTTAAAAGATATTTCTTAACCTTTAAAATATTTAGATATTTTCTACTATAACAGAGACATAGAAAGGGCATATAAGTCACAATTGACAATTTATCTAAATTCAACAGCGTAATATTGTAATGGTGGACTTAAAATGTTATTTGTTTTTGTGAAGAAATGCACAATTGCTTATTTCAAATCAGTGATTTCATAAATTTCATTAATTTTCATAAAATTGTTTGAATTAATGTTCTAAAAAAACAATTATGGCCTTTTTGGCCCTCCAATACTATTAACATGAATCATACATTTCTTTATCTAGATCTGGATTTTAAGAATTTAATGAACAGATCTATTTAAATAAAAATATATCTCTATATTATTATTATAAAGAAAAAAGATTTGTGTTTTTTAGATTTTTGTATGTATTGACATAACATAAAAACTACTGTACAGGTTAAAAAAATATTTCATCATTAAAAAGCCATGTCATCAGTGAGTAATATAGGCAATACCTTTTTATAATTTTTTAATTTCACGCGGGCGAAGTCGCGGATAACAGTTAGTGTATAAAAATATTATCAAGTGGAAAGATTTGTATTTTTGTAGATGAAATAACTCAAAAAATACTGGGCCGTTTTCAAAAATCATTTTACCATTTAAAAGCTACAGCTACATTATTTGTGTAACATAGGCTATATGTTTTCTTATTTTTTTAATTAACAGCTAATATAATAAACATATTTGCAGGAAACCAGCCCGTTACATAGATCCTATCACGAAGTTGCCGTACAGAAGTGTCGACGCTTTCCGTATAATACGTGAAGCGTACTACCAACAGCTGGAGGCGCGCGGCGACCGCACAGACCCGCAAGTGCAGCTCTGGTTAAACTGGAGACGAGCCAGCTCCGCCTCCAATTATGTTCAGATACACATCAAGTGACCAGTGTATTGTGCTATGGTGTGAATACAGTGTGAACAAACTTGTGTGAAGACTTAAAACTTAGTGTCAGACCTAACAAGTTGTAAATTATCTGATAACGATCCAATGTGTAAAATATGTGATGATAATATCAGTTACCTTATCTGAGTGACATCATTTTTAAGATATCTGAGCCTCTATCAGCCAGTTGTGGGACAGACCCTTAGTACTACTTAGATATATCATTTTAGTTTAAATAAAAGACGCTTATAGTGACTAGTGCCCGGATAGTAACGGACTGAACTATCGCACGACTGTTGTGCGATTGTCGATAGTTTCGCAGCAAACTCAACTGTTAGTTGCATAACTAAATGTGCGCTCCTCCATATAAGCACAGGAATCATCGTGCAACTAAACAGTTGTGCGACAGTTTAGTCAAAGGTGTGCGCGTGCTCTTGTGAATATTGAAATTTTATTAAGTGCAGGTTTGTAAATTGCAATAATATAGTATACTGAAAGTAGTGTAGTGAAATGTTTAACCACATTGAGGTCCATAATATAAAGAAATGTAACTACAGTAGAACCTCGATAACTCAAACCTCGGTAACTTAAAAACCTCTATAACTTCAAAAAATCATATATTCCCTTCCTATCAGAGCCCAAAACCTCTACAACATAGACCCTTGATAACTTAAAACCTCTTTAACTTAAAGTATTTTGTGTTTCCCTTGAACTTTAACTTATCGAGGTTCTACATTAGTACTACATTAGTATTTGCATAACTAAACTCAACTTTTGATTTATAAGTGTTTTAGTATAGATTATTTTTGTAATAGTAGTGTTTCCCGTAGATCAAATTTGCGTACTGGAATCCATTTGTATTTTATTTCCCATTGGTTTTATTAATTATATAAATTCTATTGGCCCAACAGGAAACACCTACAGTCTTACAAATAAATGCGGTATAAAGTTAAAATAAAGAATAAACTGATTATAAGCAAAATGTGTACTAATATTTGCTTATACTCAGTTTATTCCTAAATTTAAAATACAGCGTTTATTTGTTAGGCTGTTTTAGTTTAATCCATGGTAATATTGAGGTAAAATTCTTAATTTTCATGTTAACGTCCAAGATATATTTTAAACGATTTTTTTCTATGAATGTGTCTTTTAATTATTGAATACTTTAATGTTTTTTAAATTTAAATGTATTTTTTATGAAAATTTATATCACAAATGTGTAAAAATTCTATATTCATTTTTAGTTAATACACTTATTGTGAATATTGTCTCATGACTGATAGTATTTTGTGTTAGAATAAGTTTATAATTATTTTAGATGTAAACAAAATGATATATAGTTTTATATTTATTGTTTTATTTTTTATCTTGTGTGTTACCCGCGACTCCAGCCGCATGGAAATAAAAAAAAGAAAATAAGTAGCCTATGTGTTCTTTCAGACTATCCTTACTTAACTACAACTATGCTTAATTACAACAAGATCCGTTCAGACAGTAAGGGCCTGTCCCACTAAATTGTCAATTGTCTGATGAAAATCCAACATGTAAATCGCAATTATAATATTAGTTAGAATATTTCACAAAGCACAGAATAACATAAGTACTCTTTTGTAACTCCGAGATGTAACTGTCTATCAGTATTAATTTTTAAATAACACCAGTTTTATTCAATAAAATACTTTATTGGAAAATAAATAATTATTCTTATGTCCTTACATTATAGTTATTAGATTCAACATCTTTACAATTGTACAAAAAACTTAACAAAAATATAAAACGAAAAAATCACCAAATAATTTTAGTCACTTATTAAACTTTACATATTGCGTCAATATTAAAAGTAAAACAAAAAGCTTAAATATATTCTACAATAGACAAAAACATTAAGTTCTAGAAAGATCAAGAAGAGAAGTAGAAAAATTACGAAAAGGAAAAAGTATAAATTTTTTAAACTAAAAAGATTTTACAAGTCGACAGTAAAAGATGGATTTAATCTTAAATCTGGTACACTATTTCTTCGAACCCTTTTGAGTTCTTTAAATGGTATTAAACCAGATGCCTGAACATCTAATCTGGAATGAAAATTGGACGGATCTGTCGTAGGTAAGTATGGATATTCATTAAGATATGTCTGTGCATTCTTTTTCCTAGTATCTTCATTAAAATCATTAAATTGAGACACAGCAAGCTCGTAAGGACTTAAATTACTATCAGAAATGTTTTCCATCGATCTGAATGCTTCTAATACTGCTTTCTTGTGGGGAATCCCTCTCAAACTACCTTGCCTGCTTAACCTCCCTTCCATAACGTCCGTGAAGAAATCTTCAACGTGGAACTTTTCTGATATCTTCATAAATTTATTATCTCTATTTTCGTTGTTTTCTTCATGTAGTTGATTCCAAAATTTAGTAATTTCTGACGATGGCATCGTATGCGATTTTATCTTCTTTTTTTCGTTTGGTTTATTTTGTTCGTTATCTATAAGAGATTCGTTTGACTTATTATACAATAGTAATTCGCATTCGTTCAGTTTTTTAGGCTTTTTAACTTCTCTGAGCTCTTCGAGAGATTGAAAATATTGTTTTGCTAATTTGAATCGAGATTTATAATCGGTTGATGAGTTTTCGATTTCCCTCTCTGGCGAAATTTCGCTTGATTCCTCCGAAGACTTCTCAACAATTTCTAAATCTATGTCTGGTAAACTAATATAAGTTGATTTCTTATCAACATTTCCAACAGGACTTCCATTAGATTCATTAGTAATACTATTACTCCTAGAATCTTCTCTGACTTTATTTGTAGCAGATTCTTTAGAATTTACTCTGGAAGCTTCCTCATTAAATGATTTTCCAATAGGCGTTGAAGTGATAATTCGATCGATTGGTGCAGCTGTTTCTGTAATAAATTATAGAAATATTAGAGAAACGTAATTATGATATGATATTATAGAAATGTTGTACTAACCAGATATTAAGCACGCAGACTTGCTACGCTTATCAGAACTTCCAGGACTTTTTCGTAATGTTGTCGAACTTGCTTCTGCAGTCTTTGTGACGTCTTCATACAACGATATAAAATTTTTAACACTTACTTTCGGTAATTCATCGTATGATTTATATTTATCAAAATCCTCATCAATTGATTTGTTTGATAGTTTATTAAAGATATCCATTTCTGATTTACTACTGGACATTTGATGAGTATTTTTCGAATTATTAGCTGAACTGCAAGGAAGTGAACTATTCATAGTTTTAACAGTTTCTTTAACGTGGGAATCGTGATCTGAGAAATCGTCTTCTATTGATTTATGATAACTACTTTCGTCAAAGCTTTTAGTATAAAATATGTCAGTCACTCGAGCTCTTTTCTCCTTTAGTGTAATATTTTTAACACTTTCTTTTCTTTGCTCTATATCTTCTTTTGTAGTTTCCGATATGTTTATTTTTTCTTCGCTTTCTATTTTACATATAGACTTTAAAGTCGAGTCACTGTCTTTTCGTTGATAAATATTGTGCATTGATTGGCTTTTTCGTTGTGTCCATGATAACTCTTCTGTTTGTGATATGGTGTGAAACAAGGAAATGCGACTAGACACTAAACCACTCTCACATGTCGCTTCATTATTATCTATCGAAGGTTCTTTAACTGAAGTCGGTTTTCCTAAAGAACTATCAATCTTACTGAGAATCTGTTTTCGAGAAGTACCGAAAAATCTTTTAGGGCTTGTTTCAAATGCTTTAAAAACTTCTTCTGGTATTTCTTGCTTCACAGGTGAACTTTGGATATAACTGTTTGCTTGAGTTTTGATATCCACTTTGGTATCTTTATGATTTTGTGTGACTACTGGATTTAAAATTTCATTCTGCATAGGTGAATTTACTCTAGAATCTATATGAATTATTTCCTTGCTTTCATCGTCTAATTTGCTATCCCAAAATGCTTTCCAATTTTTTACCCTTCGAGTGTTAGCTTCTTTGTGATTTTCGGTATTTTGTGATTGGTTATCAAGGTTTACTTGCGTTTGATTTTCAGTCTCTATAGTTTGTTTATCGTTAGTGCTAAGATATTTTTTGATAATCTGTTTTCCTTTCCGTTTACTTAGCGAGTCGTTATGTCTTAACTGTTTTGCAGAAGGTCGTCGCTTTCTTTGTAGTTTCCGTGTTTCTTCTTCATTTGCTTCGATCTGTCGGATCCTTTCATCCCAGTATTTCTTCTTTTCAAGTACTATGTTTGAATATGTAATATCACCAAATTTAACAGAATCGTTATTTGGTGATGTGCTATTTATAGGTTCGTCGCCATGAAGGGTTTGACTTACTGAAACTGATTCAGTTACATTTGCCTGAATCTCAGAAATCTCCCCTTCTGATTGTATATTATGTCTCATCACATCTGATTCGAATTCAGACGCAGATTTGACATATTGATATTCACTAATTTGGTCAACTTCCCTGTCAATATTTTTATGGTCTTCGTTTAGTGTAGAATTATTTTCAGAATTTGGGAAGTAGTCATTATAGAGAAGATTTATTTCAGCAAAAGCTAGTGTTACTGGATCAGTTTCAGTAGGTTCTTCGTTTTCTGATCTTAAACCCTTCATGCTCAAAGAAATTATTTTATCATTTTCTTCGACAATTGGTGTAAAATTAGACTTTTTTAAATCCCTTCTGTTGGCTTTCATTATTTCTTCGTGCAATTTGTTTGCTTCGCTTTGTTGTAATTCTGTGCAGTTTTCCCATATTTCTCGCTCGGCTGGCCCCATATTGGATAAAAAGTAATCGTTTATAAGTTTTTGTTTAGTTTCAGTGCATTTTAAGACAGTGTTGTCATTGTTATTACTATCCGGTAAAGTATTGTTTTCATCTATGCTTACGTACGCTGAATCCCTCATTTCTTTTTTAGGTGATAAATTACCATTATCGATGGTATCGTTTGCATTAGAATTAATATTTAGGTATTCACCCTTTGTAGTGTTGAAATTTCTTTCAAAGGAAGAACAAAATGACTGATTGACTTCGGATGACTGATTTACATCATCACACGTTTCGGTATCTCTTTTAATAGTCACTTTATCAGAGCCATTTAAAGAGTCGATATTTGTTTCTTGAGATAAAGATTTTATTTCAGGAGGTAATGATACGGGAGCTCCTATAATGAAATCAGCTACGGGCAATTTTTCTTTATCATTGCCACTAGGTAGGTGTTGGTGTGCGAAGAAAGGATTAACAAATTCATTCTCACTTGTATTCTCATAATGATCACTTTGAAGATCGAAGAAATCAGAATCATTTGCAATATCTTTGAATATCGGAGACTTAGGTCGATCTGTTATAACAATATCACCTTTGATAAAAGGATTTGTTTCATTAGTCAAGGGCGCATCATTCGAGTGTTCAAAAATAATTTTTATAGGTGCGTCTTGTGTTTCTTCGTTTTGGTTCTTATTTGTTTCAAATTCTGAAGTTACAAATGTACCTAAAAGTTTTCCAATTTTATCGTCTTGAACAATTGCGTCATTTAAAAATGGATTACTTGATGTATCTCTGGATTCGTTTTCACCATCAAATGGGACATCACGTAATATTTTTAAGTCGGTCAAATTGATATCGTGTTTATCGATTGGACCGCTATCAGCAACATCGTCAAGGAAATTGTCTTCGGCGTTACTAACTTTTTCTGTTAAGATTGATACCGAAATATTTTCAGGAACAATTACTTTGTCGCGTTTGTTTGATAATAGAAATGCATTAACAGTACCTTCACCAAGTGTTGAGTTTACGACATCTGGAATGTCTTGTTGATTTTTAGGTTGTAGATTATCTTCTTTAATGTATACTGCGTCTTTTTCTCTAATGAACTCATTAAACAATTTGCATACTTTATTAATTTTTACAATTTTATTAGCAGCTTCATTGAATTTTGTCGATTTTATGCTAGTTTCGTCAAATTGTACTGCAGGAATAGTAATTTGGGCAGCTGGAGTTAAAGGTTTTTCTACTTTAGTATCTTTATCCATTAAATATTTGGCTTCGTCTTCGGAGATTTTTTCTAATACTCCGTCATCTTTTAGCAACATTTTTTCAGTAACAAAATCAACAATTCTAACTACAACTTTCCTATCAGATTTAACATCCACTATATCTATTTCTTCTCCATCTTCTAGAGAAAAACTATCTTTTTCCAATAAATTTAATATATTTTTAGTAGCAGTAACAGTATAAGGTGATCCCACAATATTATAGCCTTTACTGGTGATATAAATTTCATGTTTTCCTTCTAACTTAGCCGTATAACCAATTTTAACGTGATCTTGAGAAGATACCACTTCAATATCAATGTCATAATTTGTTTTCGGTATGTGAAAGGTTTTAGTCATGTCATTTTTTCCATAACTTCTTAAATAAGTCGTTCCATGGGGTAGAGGCAGTTTATTCTCTGTATAACCTGACTGGGATCGCATACCAAGCAATTGTTGTCTTATTTGTTGCGCCTTTCCAAGAATAGGTGGCAATATTCTCACGCCACATGTATCATTCGGTCCGTTTATTACTATTGTTATGTCTCCTGGATCTAAAGTTTGTTGTGAAGTTGGATAAATTTTAAAATACATCGGATGATTTATTTGGGCAGCTGAAAGACCTGAACCTCTTGCTATGTAGTCAAGAATGAATTGAGTTGTATCTTTAGTTGGCTTTTGGTAATTGGTCTTTACAACAGATGGCGTGACTTTTGTTACAGCTTGACGAACAGAATCTAAGTAAGTTGTCAATCTCCATTCTTGGTGTTTGCTTAAATTGTCGTTTGATTCAAGCTCCTGGCGAGAAAATACCTGAAAGTTATAAAGAAACGTTAATATTACTGAATAGTGTTGTATATATCGATTGTATGTGACTTATAAGCAAGTATACCGGTTCAACTCCAAGGTACTGTGCAGCGATCGCTTGAGCGTGCTTAAGTGAGAGTTGCGTCGGTGGATGACCTGCGCAGGCGCCGGGTAATGCGGAGTCCAAAACTCCGCAGAGCACCCAGCCGTGCTGCCACACCGTACCCAGCTCTTCTACACGAACTGGCCCATGCTCCGACACCCATTGCAACACCGCCTGCTTCTGTTCTTCATTCGAGAATATCACTGAAAACAATACAGACACTGAGAGTGCTTAGTCTGTTACTCTCAAAATATTATGAAGAGTCATTTAACTTATAACTTGAATTTTGGGACACGTAAAAGTTAGGGTAGATAAATCTCTAAAAAAATTTACATTTCTTTAAAATATCCAGCGAAAATTTTTATCTGTATTAAGGTCCAGATAAAAGTAACATATAAATTTGAATTGTATGAAAAAACTGGTGACGCGTGAAATAACAGTCTAGATTCACGGCTCTATAAACTGTGATAGTCCAATAAAAAGCTTAATCAGGAGGATTACAAAGATGATGTCAAAGCCTTAAACTTAACTTGTTTCTTGAGTTTGAAGGTCGCAATTAAAGTACGTTTAACATAACGTTTAGGTAAGAAGCTTAATTTTGAGTTTCTTTACTTAATTTAGTAAGACTGTTCTTTAAATTGGATAAACTATTTAAAAAAAAGGTAGTAATGTAAGAAGTATTGTTATAGTAGTTTTAGGTTTGCTGCAAGTTTAAAATATAAAACGTATAACGAAAATCTTTAGTACGTGTTTTCCATGAATCATTGGCCTCTAAGAAATATTCAAGGCAAAGAGGATTAAAAGGGATGATCCATTGTTGATAACAGTATCTTTTGTCAACGTAGTTTTGTAACAACGCAATTAGTTTAAGAATGTTAAAAAACCGTGATAAAAACCAGCTTATAACGTAAGACTATAAGAACAAAACATGTTATTTGACATAAAGTTCCAAAAAGAACCAGAAGTTTTGATGTCACATATACTGCCACCAAATCGCTTTGCAAATTCACTTCTGGAACATCTAGATATCTACGAGTATACTATAAAGAGGTATTTGTTTTTTTTTTTATTTAAACATGTATTGAAATAATAAAAAATTCTTTTTCCTTTAAAAAGCTATCTTATCACCGAGTAAGCCGCGGGCAATAGCTAGTCGTTAACATAAATACTTACGAGATCTAAAAGCAGAGTCGATATATTTCAATATCTTGAATATGAAGCTCTGCTGTCCCCAAAGGAGAGTGAGTAGCGTGGCGGGCGCTAGATACCGCAGTGTGGTGAGGATCGCGTCTAGCGCTGCTGACCACATACCGCGCGCCTCGTACTCCGGGTATTCAGGGATCGTGAACAACCCTGGAATAGAAAACATTGTTTTTGATGACACGAACACGGGCAACTCGCTGACGGTAGATGTCGTGATTTAAGCGGTGAACCATTCCAGGGTCTTCTGATTTACTAAAACTTTAGTGGACCAAATAAATTTGGGAAACTCCTCTTTAGTATACAAACTTGTCATAAAGTTACTTGTCAAACTTGTAAACCACAATAAAAAACATTCTTTAAAAGTAGCTCCAGTGATAAGCAAGTTTTTTGTTAACATGAAATGCGTAAAATGAAACGCACATTCTCATTTCGTTACACTAGCTATAAAATATATCACTGTGACGTCATCAGAATTAGGTATCATGTTATTATGATCGTGTATTCAGTGATACTGACCGACGTTTCTCGTTCGGGGCTCGGAAACATTTTCGTCGTACTCTTTACACAACTTTTCGATATTATCAGACATTTTACAGCACACATCCGTTACTTCGACACCGCCATATCTATTGCTTAACCTCGGTTAAGTACCTATTCAAAATTTCGTACACCATTTGTTGAGCAAGAATACGTGTTAATATCGGTTGCTTAAATAATGATGAATAATTACGGTGTTTAGAAAGCTTAAGAAACTGCAAACATCATTGATCATTCCATCTGAGTTACGCGTTTGTCATTTGTTTTATTGTAATTAAAAAAATAATAGACTTTATAAAAACAAAACGCTATTTTACATATTTTGTTAACCAAAGTTTCAACGTTAAAGAAAAACAAATCTATAACCAACCTTAACATCACAATATAACCTAAAATTTGTTTTAAGTTTTAACGCAATAATATTTTTTAATCTTTCCTTTACAATAGAGAGAACACTGGCAACTAATAAAAAAACTTACCAACTTTTTAAACCAGCATAAGGTTAAAAGAGCACATTTTCATTAGCAATGCCGTAAACCGACTAATCTTATCTTAGAGTATTCTGTGTAGACGTTATGATACCGACGCGATAATACTCATCAATGAATCACAAAATTAATATAAAATAATCAGTCGGAAAACTGACCGCTTTGTTTATCTGTATTGTTTGTTTATATTACTTTCAAATCGTTTTTGTTTTCATAAATTTTATGGCTTGGCGGTAACAACCAGAGACGCTCAAATGCTTCAGTTTCCGAAAATTTATTGAATGATTTAGTTATATAGATTACTAACTTTAGCCTGCGACTATGTCTGCGAGGAAATTTAAAAAATAAATGAGGCCTATGTGTTTTTTCACACTAAAATCTACGTCTATGCCAAATTTCACCAAGATCTGTTTAGCTGTTTAGGCTATTAACTTTAACAAACATACATCGATCCAAACTTTCGCATTTGCAATATTAGTATGATTGATAAATAAAGAAGGCAAAATGAATTAGTAAACAGGGTCTATTACGAATATTTCCTTACCAGTTACGAGATCGTATTCGTAACGTTATCGACATACGAAAACGTTCTCTTGAATATTCGTGATAGGTGTTTAATTGTCAAAGTTAATAAACGTAAAAAAATGACGTAAACGTATACACCAGTGCGCTAACTACAAGTTATATGGCAGAGTTAGGTATTACGGAAACGAATTAGTGCAATAAATTCCACAGAGATGTGGTCATTGTTAATTTTGCTGGGTGTTATCGTGTAATTTGGAAGAGAAGAGATAAACGAAAAATTTATTGGACAGAGAATGTAATGCAGTGTTGAACAATGTTAAAGTTTTTACAGATATAATAAGGTAAAAATGTCCTAGTTCTTTACTGATATGTCTAGTTCATTAACTAAATAGTTAATTCTTAGTATAATAGTTACTATATATGATTAAAAAGATCGATAAATTCACTACTTGGAAAACTATTTTTCACTGGACTACAAAACGTCGTGCTAATTTTTTGGGCATGAATCTGAACAACACTTAAACTGGCGGTAATAGGCGTGTTTACGTTAATACTTATGTAGATGATATTTTACATGTTTTTGAACTAATTAAAATTTTAGATGTGAAGGTGAGTTAAAATTGAACAGAAGCTTTCTTTGCGTTAACAATAGAAAAGGTTATAAGATGACCTTTAGTGTATTTTTTAATGTATTTAACTTCGTTATATTTCATAAAGAATTTCGTATAAATGTTATTATCTTTGAATACAATGAATACATCTTTTCTCTCACGGTCGCCGCGGACTCGAAAAATTCGTGGAATTCTGTCTGAGAACTTTTGTGTTTTCGGTTAAAATAACTTTTAGGGCATAAATAAGTTGCGTACTCCTTTGTTGACGGTTTTATCTACATTTGTACCTTTTAAATTGTTAGATTATTAGTACATTCCTACACGAATTTCATAACCTTAACTAGCTTTCGTCCGCGACTGCGTTCGCGTGGAATTATAAAAAACAAAACTAAGTAGCCTATGTGTTCTTCCAGATCCCGTTTAGCTGTTTAGGCTACAAACACTAACAAACATCCATTTATCTAAACTTTCCCATTTATAATATTAGCAAGATTTATGTTATATTATTTAGGTACAAGAACTCCAAACAGAATGTCGAGTTTATATTTCGTATGCATTTTTTGTAAGATATTTCTGTATAGATAAAATAATACAAACGATTTCATTACCTATATTGTGTCTAAAGCTGCGCCCTTTACCTTGTCAAGTCAATTTTATGATATGAAACAAAAGAACAAGTATTTCGATATCTTGTTTCTTGTTCAAGCAATATGTATCGAATGCGAAGGACGTTCGATCACTTGAGACTATCTGAATGTTAAGATAATGTCGTATAGTGACTGATCATCGAAAGGAAATGTTTGAAATCACATGGTTTTATTATAAATGGTAATAATTGAAATTTGACCACGACATGACTGTCGCATAATAGTACACCGATATCAAACAAATAAAAATAAACAGAGTATTTCCTAAAACGATTTAAAAAATTAAAACAACAAATATCAACGATACGATTGCGATAACAAGGGCTTTTCTGCAAACGGAACATTGAGAATGCTTAATAAAATCTCTTTAGGTCTTAGAAAAAGGAGATAAACGAAGACAAAAAGCTTGTTTGTGAAAAATAATCCTATCTTATTATTTCTTTTTCCTTTTCTCTTTAAACGTTACTATGTAAATTACTCTTCACGGTAAAAGAATTAAATGGTAGTTTTACAGAACGAGTTAAAATTTGCGTTCTGCTTCTTTCTCATGCTTTTCAGGGACCAATCTTTTACACTACATTATCATATGAAAATGATCGATTAAAATCGAAATTCACATTGGTACACAGCGGGATTCGAACCCAAGACCTATAGATTACAAGTCAAGTGCTTAAACCACTGAGCCACTGATGTTCCACTTAAAGTAGGTCTTAGTTATTTTATCTTTCATATTATTGATTGTTTTGTATAATTGATAACTTCATTTCAATGAAATATTTATATATTATCTTAACAATTAAATATAGCACAGAGATATATTGCATATAGATAAATTGTTTGTGTGTTTTTATTAATGCTTATTTATTTATAAATGAAGTCAGGGTTAGTATAACCAAGAAGTAAAGCTTTTTATGTCTAGTCATCATCTCCCCTGCCTCATCCTACTCCCGTAGGGTCGGCGCACCGGGTTTTCGTCCTCCAAAGCATTCTATCATCCGTCATCTCAGTCATCACTCCCTTCTTGATCATATCACCTTTCACGCAATCCATCCATCTCTTTCAAGGTCTACCCCTACCGATGTACCCCTCCACATTCATAACTAACATCCTTCTTGTTACATGCGATTCATCCCTTCTCATAACATGCCCATACCACTCTAACCTTTTACTCCTTATTTTCTCAACCACTGGGGCTACTCTCAAACTTCCTCTAATACACTCATTTCGTATCTTATCCAATCGTGCAAAGCTTTTTATGTGTAGTCCATTATTAAAATAAATAAAAACGCGTACTCGATTAATCGTAAAGGATTAATCCTTACCGAGTATTTTTAATCGATTTCTATAATTTTACATTTTGAACTGACTAATTATAGATCGTAAAGTAAAACTAGACTTTGTTCATATCTTTTGTATCTTTGAATCTGGGACGAGATTGTGAATATTCTTCATTGTTTACCGTAACCTTCACACAATTAATGAACTTGATAAGTTTTTTTTTTAATTAAATTAATTACAAACTCCACTACGGTATTACAGACGAAAAAACGTGCCTGTTCTTTTCAAGGGAACAAATGGGACAATGATATGACATGAT